AGGTACCGATATATTTTAACCTATTGAAACAGCAAACATTTCTAGCAAAAGCCAAATTTTGAATTCAGGTTATGAACTCAAGTTTAGGTGTAATTACAGAGTGAAGGTAGAGATGCTTCGCTGCTGGGTTTATCAGCTAACTCAGCCAACAATCAGCTTTTATTCTTATCAAAGATACAGATGCATTTGCCACTAAACAGATCTGTTTCCCACAAACTAGACATGGCCTCCGGGCTCCAGATAAGTAGGGAATCTGGCCCTGTAGCACCCCAAAGCTCCAAGTACAGGAATTTTAAGACCTTCCTGGAGCAGTATTTATTTAAATTGATTATTGTAAACAAATACAATCTAAATGGACTGTCCCGAAGCAGAGACTCCACATGTTCATTGCTGAACACCCCGGAGCCCCAGATCCAGTATTGCTCCCAACTTCCAACCACTTTAATCTTCATTTTAACTATTTTATGAGTCATTTATATCCACCTAAGCAAGCAAACACAACGACCCAAAAAAGATCTGAATCCCAGTTTTCAGCTCTACAAGCCTCAGAGGGGAAAGAAGATAACACCTCAAGAGGTTACATGTTCCAAACCCAAGGTTTTATGGAGGAAAGGGAGGTTGGAAGGTGAGAGAGAGGAATGGATTTTCCATAGCACTGCAATGCCACAGGAAAGGGCCACGTTTAATGTAATCAAGCTCTACATTGCGGCCATATGGAAACAATTTCAGTCAATAAACAACTGCAAAAGGCAGCAGAGGAACAAAAAAATCAGATCCTGGCTTAGCCAGCAGGCAGGAAAGCCACTGGCTGAGCTCTGAGGCTTCCCCGGCAAGAAATATCCACGTCCACCAAAACTGCACAGGTTTGGGTCTCCATCACTCAAAACTTCCACACCTCAAACTGCAGGAGCACAAAGGGCACCACTTCTTCCACAGTGCCTTCCCCAGAGATCCCGTGCCCCAGTCCTCTTCCATTTCTTCCCTTTTCCAAACCTTTCCTCAAAGGCTATCGCTCCAAACAGGTTTCCCACTCGACAGCCACAAAGGAATCACACATCCCAAACTTTAGATACTCTCTGCCTGCAATTTGCAGGTTTCAAAACAGGGACTTTCTAAGGGAGCAAGTCCTTAAAAACACCCACCCCAAAAAAAAACAAACTAACCCAAAACACAACACACTTCGCTTCCTTCTGTCAGTGGTATTTAAACGAGGGTTGGTTTCCCGATCCCATATTCTCCGGGATCCTAAAAAACCATGGCAAAAATACTGCCTGTCCTACAGAAAAAGGCATTCCTGTGCACTGCTGATTACAGCTGCAACACCCAGGGAGTAAAAGCTAAATCAGTTTGGGACAGGAAAAGGGAAATTCAAGGGAACAGCCAGCGAGCGAAGGCAGCTGCATTTTCAACAAAAAGCAAGAAGGCACAGTGCTATGAATAAATCAGAATTTACTTGAGTGGGACACAGGAGTGACACCACCATTTACAAGAATAATGCCCATGAACTGTAGGATAATTCACAAGTGTCTTCAGAAGGGGATGTTTGTAAAGGTTGGGAAGGTCTTCACTTCCATGAGGCCATGGAATCCGACAGGAGATCCACCTCAGCCACCCAAAAAGCACTGCCATGTTATACTTGCAGATATCCAGCAACAAAAGCTCTTGGGATGTTCCTCTTAGCAAGCAAAGTGCAAGATTCAAGATATAAAACCCAAATATAATAAGAGTAAGAAAATTTAGGACCCAGTGACTTACTAGTGGAAGGGAAAACCACTGAGAGCACTGGGAACAGTTTGCTGTTACACTGGGGCAACATGCCTTTGTCATGTGAGGAACCTTCTAATTCACCAGTCATAAAAGATGATTTCCAGCAAATCCATTAGCAGGGAAACATTTTAAATCAGCCTAAAACCCGAGGAGGGCTTTCCCCCCAGGCCAGGTGGATGTTCATGTCGTGCCAACGCCCAGAAAGGGGACAGAGCAAATCTGCAAAGCTGTAAATCCACCCAGACAGAGAACAGGCAAAGAAAAACACGGATTTTCCCAGTGAAGAATGAGGAGAGCAAGGACAGCGGCAGTGCCAGTCAGCACGTTCTAATGGCAAATGTCTTGATAAAGGACTAACTTTGTTCTCTGAGATTACAAATGTAGTTGAACAGGAGAAAGTACATGCACAGAGTGTACCCTGGTTTTGGTGGAAACCCTCATTGGCTGCTCGGTATCCAGAGCTGTCAGTCAGCCAGTTCTTCATCCACTTCCTGGCATTGCATCATGCTAATTTTTTTTTTTTAAATTTTTTTTTTGTTGTTGTCACTAAATTTAAGGTCTGATGCAGCTCAACGTTTTTATCACTGCAGATAAAAATCTTTGAGTGACACCAGAGCTGTAGAACAACAGGAGGGAAGGATGGCAGGAGAAAGGAGGCTGAATACCTGCCTTAAGTCAGCTCAGGAAAGCAAAACACGGCGGAATACAAAGGCCAATTTATAACCTAAGAAATGCAGACTGTAACTGCTGAAGTAAAGAATGTCAGTGCTGGAGCAGGGAGGCTCAGGAACAGCATTTCCCTGGAACCTTTGAAATGGCTGTGCAGCAAAAAGGGCTAAAGGCACCTCGGAATTTGGTCTGGATCAGGCACAGGCCGGAACAGGCACCTTTTTTGGTTTCCACAATGTTAAAAATAAACGGAGGCCATGAAGAATCACCGGATGATCTGAGTGCTGGAGAAAATGCCTCAGAGTGAGACTTAAAAGCTCAACTCTCTTCCCTTATCTATCAAGTAACTTGATTACAGAGTGTAAGTACCTTCATGGCAAGAAAGTCCTGGATACTAAAGGGCTCTAATCTTGTCAGGAAAATCCTAACAAGAACCAGCAGCAGAACTTGGACTAATTCAAATTAGAAATCAGCCACTTATAACTACCAAGAGAAGTGATGAGCCTGAAATTACCAGTGATGGACATTCAGGGCTGGAAAGCTTTCAAATTGTTTTTAGCCAAACATCATTTACTGGTCTCAGTTTCAGAGTAAATGATTAAAATTTAAAGGCCTGTGATACAAAGCATATAAAACGTATCAGGGAAGGCAATTTAATTATCTGTTCTCGCCTTAAATTTTATGAATCTCCAATATGTTAACATCACTCGACTTCTGTGGACCAGGAAATTAAAGAGGGAGGAATAAGTTTCAAGTTCACCAAGCTCCCTCTTTTTCAGACTTATCACTAAACAGTACCACTCCATCAAACAGATGGAGCTCCCATGAAATACAAACAGCCAGGGAATGACCCACTACGATGCCTGGAAACCACGTGGAACACAATTTACTTGGGAAAACTCTGATCAGCCACTTACCTCTCCCACCTGCGGCATGAAAAATCAGTATTAGCTTAAATAATTAGTTCTCAACCACAATCTGACACTCGTGTTTATACTCCTGATGTTTATTATACTCTGCTATCCAGCCAAGAACCTCCACGTACTTTGTGAATGTGAAAGCACCTCGACAGCTCTGAAAGGATTATTTTCATATTACACGCTGGAACACCAGCAAGTCAAGAAGTTTGCCCTGGGTCATGAAAGAAGACCTAAGGCAGAGCCTAGAAATGAGATTCCCTTGCCAGGAACTTCCCTTTCCAACATTGGAGCACTACTTACATGTCAGAGCTGCTGCACACCCCAAACCCTGCCAGTGAAATCACCGAGAGGTTTCTGGTGAAAGCTGACATTGTAATCAGAGAATCTGATCATGGCAGAGAGAAAGTGTCCAAAATAAAAGGTCAGAATAAACACCCAAGTAGAAACAGCTCTTGTATTTGATGAACTAACTAAGTGCTTTCGGCTGCCATCAGAGTCAGAGGGAAGAACAAAAAGCAGATTCAGTGCTTGGTTCAGGGCTCAGCTCAAAATGCAGGAAATGACTATATGCTGCACTTCCCAATTGATAGGACAAGGGCTTATCAGGAGAACAAAACTGGCTGTTCACAAGGCCAATAAAGAGTACCCACAGTATTGTTTCAGTGGCAGTTATTCTGCTGCTGAACTTGAAAATTCTAAGGAAGTGGAAAGAAAAGAAGCATTTTGAATATTAAGTTCAAAAGTGAGGAGATGACCAACACCAGGAACTCAGATCAAGTGAGATTCAGCCAAACATAATTAATGTATTTTTTTATACCTGGCTTATAAATTCCTTCCTTCACCCAATGTTAAAACCTCACGGTTTTAACCCATGAATGGGTTTCTCATAAATTTCTATAACCTAAATAAACATACTGTACATATGGAGAACGAAAAAAAATGCCACCTCTATGCATGAAGCAGGTGTTAAAATTTGTTTCCTCAGGCTGGAAGAAACCCTTCCACAAGAAGCAACACTCCACCCATTGGACAAAGAGACTGGAAGCACTACCTGCCTGAATTCCATGGATGTACACATGAAGTTGGATCTTTTCCAGGTGTATTACAGAACTGATTCAGGTGTATTCATAAGTACAACCTGACCAAGGGCTCTGCCTGGTAATAAGTTGCAGGCTGGTAATTGCCCTGAAACCAAGAGGAGATGATGAAGTGAACATTAGAGAGGAATTCTGTAGGAAAAAGTGAACTGACCTTCCACACCTCCTGGTTGGCTGCACAGGGAAGATAAAGCAGAGCACACTCTGTCAGAAGCACTACAGCAGTTCCCAGTTTTAAGAGCACACTTTCACTTCAGACTCTGCCTGTAGCTTTGATTAAGAACTGGGAAAGGGAAATCTGCACACAGACAGGGAGAATAACCAGTTAGAGGTGATTTTCTTTTTTTAATTCTTGAAGCAAACTGAAACAGTGATTGTTCAACCTTTGGGTGTCTGAATCAACACAGATGATAAACATGCATGTGCATTCCTGAGATAGATCTGAAGTCCAACACTGAAAAAATCCTATTAAATGAAGCAGAAGAAAAGCAATGGAAGAAAGAGGGGCATCCCTTGCAGTCTTGGGAGAAAGTTTACCCCATAGTGCTTTTGACCTGATAGGAAGGGGATATAATGGATTTAAAAGGAAAAAAATTAACTGCATAACTAAGGATGAGAAGTGTCAATCCACAGAAGTCAATGGAACATGAGAAATCCTCCCATGGCTGTAAAAAAATCTCGTTGACTTAGGTATTCTTAATGAGCACATTAGGTGACCAGCCAATAAATTCCTTATAAAGTTAATATATATATCAATATATCATAAAGTGGAATAGATGGGGAAGGGATATCTGTGTTCAACTGCCACTGGCTCAGTTCGTGGCCTCTGTGAGTCACTTGGCCCTTCTGCCTCAGTCTCTCTGTTTCTAAAACACCAATACCTCAGCCAAGCACTTCCAAACCAAGGTACAGAGTATTGTTTTATCATGGAATAGCCAAGGAGGACAGTGGCTCTGCCACAGTGAGAATGAGAACCAGCAGACCCAAATTCAACCAGCCACCACAGGAGTTACGGCCATAAATCGATTGCTCCCAAGGAGGAGCTTTGTGACACCGTAACTGTCACGGCAGCAGCTCCACAACTGTGACATGAGCCCTTTGCTCAGCCTGTACCACAAGAAGCCCCTGGCAAACCCAACTGCAGCAGCAAAGAACAGAAGCACCCCAAACCCACTAAAATTCGAGGCTGTCTACGAGAAAATCTTCCCCACGTGCTTTTACGGTCACGGGCTAACGCCGTGTAAACGCCCGACTGAGAGGGGAAGGGAATCAACCACTGGCATGTTTAAAGAAAGACCAGATTTCAAGTGAATAAATCTCTTTTTAGCAGGCACAACACAAAAATAAATGTGTTTCTCAGAGTAACAAGATGAAATTTTCAGTTGGTCAGCAACTGCTTCTCGCTGTGGAACCACATGACTGCCCCAACACATAAGAACATTTTATCTGCCAGCTTGCAAAGAAGACCACGTAGTTAATAGTTTGCAACCTCCTTTCCTCCAGAAGGTCTTCAGAGTTGAGTAATAAAATTCCTCACATGATTTCAATGAGAGGGTTCACTTGTCAGGGGCTGTTTCGAGAAAGTGTCATATGTCAGGGAGGTGCTGCTCAGATCAAGTTTTCCAACCTTGTGTTTTCAAGGCTTCAGTGAAAATGAAAAGAAAAAAAAAACAAACAACCCCAAAACAAAAACAAAAAACCAAACCTCCAGGCTCTAAAGTTTGAAACTGGAGGAAAGAGAAATAATCTCTAGATGTTATTTGCAAAATGTGAAAGTTGGCCAATTAATGAGGGGAGGAAGAAAAACCCTGATTTAAGCCCTGGCAAACCCCTGAGATCAGAGACTGATTACCATTTCTGCCGCTGACTCCATGCAGGAGCCTGGGCAAGTTAATCCCCCTACACCTTGGTTTGCCACCTGCCAGATGAAAAATAACACTTTCCTTTCATATCCTGTCATTCCTGCTTGTATTGTTCCCCAAATTAAAAGCATTTGTCAAAACACTTATCTTTAGCATTAACACTGGGAATTGCATTCACAGCCTCCACACGCCCGTTTGCATGACTGAGTGCTCACATACAAACTCTTCCTACACTTTGCTCCCCAGCCATCCTCATTTAACAGGAGTCAGAAGGGAGCTTTACTCAATATGGGAATATTAGAATGATAAACACAGTTTATTACTAACCTTATGTATGAAACCAGCTTTAGAGATATGAGTTAGACGCCCCAAAAAATCAAATTCTCCTCGTTACCTCCCAAAAATCCCACTGTAATCACAGTATCAGTCTCGCTGCATTGATAACCCACAAGACCACGTTATCAGCACAGGTATAATTAAAGCTCAATCCCACAAGGACATGGATGCAAAATCCAATCCTTGCTCCGCTAAAATCAGTACAACATGGAATCAACTTCAGGGACTTTAGAACTGTCAAAGCTGCACAAAGTTATCGACAGGAGGAACAAAGGCATCTTTTTTCTGCAGTAAGATTCCTAACCTGACAGCATTTGGATTTCAAATCCTAAACTTTGAAGAAGATGAAAAATATTTGCTACAGAATCCCAACACTGTAACGTGTCATTCCGCAACGTCCCTAAAAGCTCTGCACAGAAATCACTGTGAAGCTCAAGCTGCTTTCTTTAGATTAAAATGAGCTGTTGTTCCATGAAAATTGATTGATTTTCTAGCACATTAAACCAAACATCTTCAGAGATCCCTTGGTGAAAGGGACAGCACAGCCTCCTCCTTTCTCGTGGCTCAGCTTCATTAATTCTTCCAGTTCCCCGCCCAAAGACCCAAATTTCACCACTGCCCCACTGACACACAACAAAAAAAAAAAAAGAGCAGTCCCAGAAGTTAACGACAGAACAATTCCTGACAGTCATGCTCATTAAAAATTCATTTTATTAAAAATTAAATTAGCTTTAAAAGTGAATGTCAGAACCCCACTGTTTTCCCAGCTCCAGGCAGCGATGAGAAAACATACCAAACACTCCCATGAACTTACAGATTATCACTATAAAGTAAACACTTCACAATAATTTAATTTTCAAAACACTGGATAGCCTTGAACTTTTAATATCCTTTTAAAAGAGACCAGTAAGACTCACACTGAAACTGCCTTAAAAATAAGCTTTCTGCAGCTGACACCGGGCACAAATTCCATGGAATTATCAGAATCACAATTCTAGAGAGATGCACGTTGTCTAGAAAGGTCAACAAATGAAAGGAACCGCTTGAGACTGCTCAGCAAAGCAGTTCTAGAGATAACCAGGCCTCATCCACGTGGGGTTTTCTTCCAGGTTTCCTTACCCCTCCCTAAAAATCCTGCTGTTTCACCTAGGATAGCATTCCTGTAGCCCAGCTGGCAGCCTGCACTCCACAATGTCGTCTAGACCTGCTCCCAACAGTGGGATGACACAGGAGGAAAAACGCTGATGCCTGTTCTGGTGCGAAGGGGAGGAAGCACAGGCTGAGTGAAACACGAGTTCCTCGTTCCCAGCCTCATGCCCAGGCTCGTCGGGTAATTCTGTCAACCAGACACAAAAAGTTGTGGCCGTCGTGGGGGTGAAGAATAATCCTCACAAAAAGGGGGAAAAGCGCTTTCCCAAACCCCCGTTTTCACCTGCAGAATCAAACCCTGCCCTTTCCGAGCCCGCTGCTCTCAGGACCTGCAGACAACAAACACATCCCTGCACAGATAACATTTTCCATCCCTTCCTTCCTTCTCCCCTGTCTGCATCTCCGAGATGTTTTCTCCAGCAATTTGGGAGAGAAATGGCAAAAAGGCAGACGCAAAACACCGAAATAAATTAAGTTTGTTCTCCGTTGTTGACGGATTTGGTCCTACCACGACAGGAGGGAAAAAAAAAACGTTAGGAGTGATAAATCCATATATACCTACTCCAAACTACACCCCACTTCCCAAGGGACACGGTATAATGGTAAATAAATATAGATGCAGCTCCTACTAATGAGGCCGGGTACAGCAAGGCCAAGGAAAATGCAATCATCTCGGGGAAAAAAACCTGCACAGGACTCCTCCTCTCCCATCCATGGAGGAAATCAAATGCCAGCTGCACCATCCCAGGAAGGAAGCAGAGCCTGTACCTGATGAGCCCTGCAGAAATGAGCGAGTCATATCACGGGACTTCAGGCTTTCGTCTGCAGAGCACAATTCCTCGCTCCGGTATTTTACGTGGCATCGTTCATGCAAATTGTAGGGTTGGTTTTTGGATTTTTTTTCCCACCGGTTTTCTTTTTTTTTTTCCCCTCCATCCCCACTAGTTTGAAGCAGGGGCACGTAGGTAGTGTCTCTGAGATCCGCTCTCTCAAACGCGTGCCTTCCCATCAGTTTAACACTTTCCTCCCTATAAAGTTTAAATCCTCGCAGTTTTTGTTCACAAACGTTCTGTACTTAAATGCCACCGAGTCACACTCCCAGTTGTTACTTGAGCAGAACAAATTGAGAGAGACCTGACTCCACAAACATGCTTAAACCTTCATTTCCTCTTCCTTCTTCCTTCCCCACCCCCAAAAAGAGCATTTTTTTTGTCCCCAGCACGAAGGAACTGGGAAAAAAAAACAGCACATCCAAGCAAGGCTTTTCCAGACCTATCGCAAAGAACGAAATGCTTCCGAAGAAGTGCTTTGCAAACATACCAAGAAACGCTCTAACAACTGGGAAAAAAAGAACCCATCAGACAAAACGGAGGTCGAAGAACTCGGCGGGGTCTGGCTCGGGTGTGTGTTCTGCACCTAAATACACTCGGCTCTTGTTTAGTTTTAACCCCGGAGCAGAGGAAAACACTTCCAGCAGAATTCCCAGCCGCTTCCCCCGACCGCTCCTGCGGTCAAACACACTGTTCTGCCCCTCCCTCCCCCCCCCCCCAAAAAAAAAGATCCCAGGCACGGCTACAAAAGCATTTTAACCCCCCTCACCTCTTCCCAAGAAGTGCAAAATAAACAGGCGTCTGACACCCCACCCAAGCTCTCCTCGCACATTTTGGGAATGACTTCCCTCCGGGTCCTCCTCCTCCCCCCTTCCAACCCGTCCCCATGTTAAAACTCTCCAGCAACCAGACACCCTTTTCGGGTTCACGCCTTCGCCACCCCCGAAAACCCTCCCCAAAGCCCCGGGAGCTGCAACAGATCCCGCAGCCAGCGGGGTTTGGGGCAGCCCCGACCCCCCGTCCATCCACCTCCACAAAGCTCCCAAAAGGAGCCCCCCGAGCCCTCGCACGCCCCCAGCCAGGACAGGGATCTGACGAGGGGGTTCCATCCCCGCAGGGTCGGAGCCTCTCCCTCCTTCCCCCGCCGCCCCCGGGGGTCCCGGGCACGGGGAGCGCCGGGGGTCGCACCAGCCCGGCCCCAAACTCCGCGGCGAACAAACCCCCGGACACCCCCCCCCCAAGCCCCAGCACCCACCCAGGCTGGGAGGGCTCGGCCGCCGCCGCCCCGTGCCCCCCACACCCAGGAGGAGATGGGAGGAATCCGAATAAATAAATAAGCGGCAGGAACAGCGAACCCCAAAGCTGCCCTGCCCTCCCGCAGCGGCTTCCCGGGGACACCCTTCTCCTCCTCCTCCTCCTCGGCGGAGCCCCCCAAAGCCGCGGCTCCAACTCCGCCGCCCGAGCTGAGGGGCTGCCCCTGCCCACCCGCGGCCGCCCCCGGGTGCCCCCCTCACGCACATCCCGCTCTCCGGCTCGGCGCGACTCCCGGCGGTGCCGGGGAGGGGGGACCCCTTCCCGCTGCCCTCCCTCCAGCCCACCCACCCGCCCGCCCCCTCCCCTCGCCACCGCCGCTCCCCCCCCTCATCTCCCCCCGTCCACACTCACCTCTGGGTGCTGCCGGCGCCGCCGCCTCACCATGGACCGGCGGGACTGGGGGGGTCCCCCCGCCCGCCCCTGCCCCAGATTGAGGGGGGATTAACGGGGGGCGCTGAGGGGCGAGAACAATAGGGGGGAGGAAATCCCTCGGCCCCCTGCCCCCCCCCCGAGGACACGTCCCCCTCCCCGCCCGGCGCTCCTCCTGCCGCTCCCTCCTCCTAGCCCGCTCCCTCTCTTTTTTTTTTTTCCTGGTGTTGTTTTTTTTTTTTTTGGCTCAATCACACCAGACCGACTGTCTTTGTCTGTCTGACAAGCGCCATGTTGATATCAACATCCGAGCCCCCACCTGCTGCAGCTGTGAGACCCTGGGACTTGTAGTTCCCCCCTCCCCAGGGTGACGGGGAGACCCGCGGCGCCGGGACTACAACTCCCAGCGTGCCACGGGCGCGCGGCGCGCCAATGGGGCGGCGGGGCTGAGCGCGGGGCGGACTACAACTCCCGGCGTGCCTCAGGGTGAGGCCATGACGTTATGCAGGGCGAGGAGGGCGGCGGGACTACGACTCCCGTGATGCCGCGGGGCGCGGCGGGGCGGGCAGGAAGGGGGGGGCAGGATTGTCCCGGTAAATAGAACCGGGGGACGCGATGAAGCTGGTGAGTGCTCGGAGTGGGAGGCAGCGAGGGCAGGGAGGGGGGCTCGGCCTTCCCCCAGCGGCGGGGGGGGAACAGGGGTCGCCTTTAAGCTGCGCAGCCTCAACCCCGCCGGGCGGGAGGGGAAACGGAGGCGGGGGGGGGGGCGGCCCGGGGGGGGGGGGGGGGGCGATACTGAGGGGAGGGGAGAGGCTGAGGTGAGGAGGGGTATGATCCTGAGGGGAGAGGCTGAGGTGAGGGGGATGATCCTGAGGGGAGGGGAGAGGCTGAGGGAGTGGGAGGCGATCCTGAAGCTGGGGGATGTTGAGGAAGCGGGGAGAGGGCTGAGGGACGAGGATGTTGGATGGAATCAAATATCAGTGGGATTCAGGAGGAGAAATGTTTATCAGCCTTCCTGCCCTTAAACACGAGCCTGGCTTGGAGCTTTCCACGTGTGGCTTGTGCTGGGCTCTGCCAGCAATGGGAATAAAACCTCGTGATTCTTAATAAAGTCGTTTTCCATGGGCACTGTGATAGTACAGGTAGTAGGTAATAAAAAAAAAAATCAGCCTGGAACTGCTTTGCCAGGGGTGCACTTTGCTCCTGACAAGGATTTTGGTTCTGATATTGCAGTCTTCTGTCAGAAAATACATTACCCGTGTTATTGGTGTATCTCGAGATCTCCCTCTTTAACTGTTTAATCTTCCTACAGACCTTGGATTCAGGCACCGCTTTATTTTCCAGGAGGAAATTCTGATTCACATAATGTGCTGCAATTCTTGGTCTGGAGGTGAAAACCCTAGCAGGTTTCAAAATACGATAACACTTGATTTATTTAACCTGAAATTACACCGTTATTCGATGTAAAAATTGTCTCTTGGTTTCGAGACTGCGCAGTGTGTTTTGACAAAGCCTCGTAGACATGAACTTTGATTCTGGGCTGTTTTGAGAATTCCAGGAAATCACTATCTGTGGAAATGTGTACAGTTAATTCCATGGGCAGGTGGGCAAAGAGCTTGATCCTACATAATCTTACCTGTGGGATAAATATATGGGTGAATATCACAAACACTGCAAAACCAAACACCTCTGGATGTGATTGTAGAGTCTGATATAATTCAGTGGGAAAAAGCAAACTGGGAAATCTTTAAATAAAAACCATAGTGGAAGTGCAGAGCTCTTTTAATGTTTAAAGTCTTGCATCGGGGCAGAGAGAGGGAAGGGGTTGGGAAGGGAATTACAGCCTTGTCTAGAGTCTGCATTGGAGCATTTTTAGACCTGTGTATCAATTTAGGGGCTGGGAATTATAAGATCAGATTCTTCCCCTTATATTTTTCCAGAGCTGTGTCTGAATCTCGGGATTGTGTGAGGAGGAGTAGATGTCTTCATCCTCTTTTCTCATAGATTTGGGTTGAATCAGGGTAGAGGTGATGGATTAGTGGAATATTCCCTGTCCATGGCTGGAACGAGAGGATCTTTAAGGTCCCTTCCAACCCAAACCATCATGGGATTTTTGTGACTCCAGACCTGATTCAGAATCCAGTGAAAGTGTCAGACTCCCAAAAATTTCAACGTGCTTTGGCCTGGGCAATTCCAGTTCCTAATTTCCTCCTGGATTTTAAGCTGGCATGTGATACTAATACTGGAGGAATGCACTGCAGGATTTGTTGCCTTCAGCTGGAATTCAGAGCACTGGCTTTAACCTGCACAGTTTTGAATGTTTTGGAGCTGCAAGTGTGAGCCATCATCTCTCTGCTCTGTCATGAGATCACCAGGGATGCTCTGTGGGAACCAGATTTCTGTGGAGGACCTGAGCATCTGGAATTAACCCCTGAATTTGTGCTCTTTGTGCCCCACTGTCAAACTTCCAACCCATTTACAAACCCTGCTGGGAAAATTCTGAGATGAACTGGGCATGTTTTGTGCGGTTTCTGTCTTTTTTTACATGACATTTTTAGTTAGGAGATGAGGCATTTATGTGTTGGCTGCACCAACTTTCAGCTGTAAGGGAATAAAGTTGGAAGCACACAACTCCTGGAGCAAAAAGAGCTTGGATTTCAGTCCAGTCAGGAACACGACTGGGATCTCTGGATCTGTTTTAAACACTAACAAGTATAAACTGAGTGGAAATAACCACATTTATAATGTATATAGGGACATACAGGGTGCAAACACTCCAATTCTTGGATTCCTAATCTAAAATTCTAACAGAGGTGCAGGCCCAGAAATGTCACCTGTGCAAACAACTGTATAGAAAATATGAATTGCTTTTTTATTTTTCTGTCACTTCGCTTGAAGCTGGTGGGAAGAGTCCATTGATTCCCAGGAATCCATTTACCACAGCGTGACAGCCACAGATAGAGATGATTTTAGCTGCTTGTGAAGAAGAAAAAAGGAAGATTTCCCAGTTAGCTCGTAGGTGTCAGGGTTGTGAACCTGCTCGTGATTTTTATAAAAAGGCAAGAAAATGTTTTGCTGATAAAAGTGGTGCTATTTCATTGCCTTTTTTAATTACCAATAGTTTAAAAGCTACAGAAATAAACCTTATTTTTCCCTTCATTTCTTTCTATTTACTTGGATTAAGAGCTTCAGTTGTCAAAGTTCTGCTCTGGTGAGAACTTAATTTCGCAGGAGCATATTACATTTGTGACTAAACCAACTGAATTCCTTGCTTGTATCCTCACTCCTTCACCAGCTTGTTATTTTTAAACTTTGCTGAAAGAAAGGCAAAATGTGATGTAGCCCCTTAATAATTAAGGCTTTGTGAATTTAAAACGAAAATCTTTGTGATATTTGAAATTTAATATATGGGACTTAGCTTTTTAATATTTAAATATCGTTTAAAGCAGGTTTTTGTGGAATGTATGTAAATAGACTCCTTGGGAGCTGTTAATCCAGACAGTTGCAGTCCTGGGTTACCATATTGTGAGCAGAGGTACAAAATGAAATGATTAATCTCCCTTCTTTCCACTTGGTAGAGGGAAGTACAGAACACAAGCCTGTGGGATAAATGACTTAGTAAAAGACTGAGCCTGTTTTTAGTGCACTACATGGCCAAACAAGTGGTATTTTTCATCTTAATTGACCAAAACTTGAATTTAAAAGCTAAAGTTTGACTGCCTGAGCGTGGCTGAGCTGCCAGATGGCCAGACCTGGGAGATTCCAGGTGAAAATTCCCTCCTCCAAGCAGAGAAACCCTCCCGCAGAGGTGGCCACGCTCTGCTCAGACATTTAGGTTTCTAATCCCGCATTTTAAAGCCGACCTTTCTGTTCTCTTCTTATTCAGAGCTCCTGTGCCTCGTTAAATGTTTGTCACTCCAGACAGGAGGTGGCTGCATCTCAATGATGCTCAAGTGCCCCCTACATAACCTGCTCACCGGCTCATTAAGCTTCCAAAGCCTTTGGGATTTGGCTACACAAACCCTTCCATTCAGGTGGGATTGTCCAGTCCCTTCTGCTTCCTGTTTGT